ATTTTTACTATGGTTAAGTGTGGGGGTATAGGGTTTAGGGTTCAGGGACGGCTGACTTACTTAGCTAACGGTTCCGATTATTGAAGAAGAGATTTCGGGGTTTGCGGGACTAAGGCTGTCTCTGATCTTCTGGGGCGAGGGATTGCGGGGTTTCGGGACTTTTGAGTCGTACATGCTAAGGCTTTCATTTAGGGCCGGGATTTTTTCGGCTTTTAGGAGATAGGATTGTCGGTTTGCGGTTCATAACAAGAAACTGCACCCTGCATCGTTCTGCTTGTGCAAGGATGCGAGAACGTTCGCGTGGTATGCTTATTATCCACCAACATATGCCAATATTCATGCTTTGGACGCGTTAATGGTATCAGACTGTATTGTACCGCCAAACCCTAGTCCAATCATTAAGGCTGTTTTATGGTGACTGAATTTGGCTGACTTCTGAACCCCTCCAAAAAGTTAAACTTTTAGCCTCCTTATTATGGTTCGTATAGAAACCCAAAAAGTTAAAGTCTAAAGAGCCAACCAGAAGAACGCCAAGTTAAGCTATGTGCCATACCAACCCAGGTAAGGTTGGCCATGCACATGCACAACGTCTTCGAGCAGAGGCGCAGTCTTCGAGAGTCCGTTGCGAGCTCAGTTGCTGGGGTTTACAGTAGAAGCGTTTAGGGTTTACGGGTTTAGCTTAGATAGTGACCGCGGGAACTTTAAACTTTTTGGCCTTATGTACTAGCTCTATCTTAGAAAGTTCGAACTTTTTGGGGGCTCGGTTGTTGAAGAAGAGAGTTAGGGTTTAGGGTGCCCATAAAGTAAAGCTAGAGGGATAGGGTTTAGTGTTGTTGGAGCTTCATGGCTTTAGGGGCTTTACTTCAGGGTTCCTGGTAGGGCTTAGGGGTGTAGGGTTTAGGGGTGTAGCGGTTTAGGAGTTAGGGGTTTAGTGGTTTAGGGGTTAGGGTTTAGGGGTTTACAGTAGAAGCTAGAAAGCTGGAACATCATTATCCTCATGCCTATAAAGTAAAGTTAGAGGGAATCCCAGCATGAATCATCCTATATCGATGTTTCCGGGGTCCGCTATAGTGTTTTTGGGTTCATTGCTTCTGGGTGTTAGATGTTTTACTTGGAGGGTCGCGGGACTTAGTACGTAGTTAATAAGTACAGTTATGAGTACCCCAAAACGAGTCCTCATTGGGGTTATGGTACTTATAACTGTATAAGACAGCTACTTAGTAAGCCCCCGACCCTCCAAGTAGGATTTCTCGTCGCGAAAATGTCGGTACTTACAAGGCTCGATGTTGGAGAGATTTTGTTTGGGAGTGTTGGTTTTTTATCGGAGTGTTGGTTAATGTAGGGCTTTAATTTACAAATTTGAACGGGGTTAGAGCCTAGGGTTTAGGTAGTTTGGGGGGGCATATAATAAATTGATAATCTTACTAAGGGCTGTTCTAACTATGAGGGCCTGCATACTATAGTGAGCCGCTTCCGCGAAGAGCAGTTTCTGCGTACGTACGCTCTGCGGGGCCAGAGCAAGTGTTGGCTGAGAAGGGTTTTGGATTTCGCCCCTACATCGCCGCAGCATGCAGAAGCGAATGTTAAGCAGCAGGTTAAGCAAGAAGCTGTCGTAGACCAGAGACATCGGCTACAGAGCATAAGTAAATCTCACCCTACCCCCTAAACCCCTAAACTAAACCCCTAAGCCTTTAACCCTAAACTGGCCTAAACCCAAGCTCCTAAACCCCTAAACCACGCCCTAAACCCTAAACCGTTCACGATCAAGGAAACCGAAACACAAAGGGTTTTGGATTCGCAAACGCCTCGAGGATCCTGAATGTAACCTACCGCTAGCTTGTGGATACTGCTCCCAAGCCTTTCTACATGTGTATATCTGTATTTTTCTATGTCTATGGTTACATTTAAATATATGGAACTAAGTATGTATGTAATTATTTAGTTAAGATATATAATATAGGCGATAAATGTATAGAACCCTAAATAGTAGCCCAATGATACACTGTTATGGTACGGGGACAGTACCCAAGGTATATTCCTCAGTTCCAGCATGTTCCGGGTTTAGAGTTTCTCAAGCTACCTGCGCATCCTCTTCGTCTGTGACTTTAGGTCGGAGCGAGAACCTCGCATCCGAACAACATACAGCACACCGTTCGCACAATGAAAACTTAGTAGCTGCGTAGGTAACCTTTAACCTTTTAGGGTTTATACCGTCCTACCATAATTGTAAGTGTTAACCTTTTTGGGCTGGGGTACTCAGCCCCTAAGAAAACATCACATAATTGCTAACCCCTCACTCAACACAAACCCACAACACATCTTAAGCAGCAGACACTAAGCCCTAAATCCGAGGAGCCGTAGACAGAGACACTGAAGACGTCCAGAAATCCTTAAGCCTAAATCCGACGGAAAGCAGGAAGAAACAACGAAACGCACCTTCAGATACAGCCCGGATAGAGACGTAAAGGGCTTAGAAAAGCCTTTCTCGACTCTCAAACAAACCCCAAACCCGAAGCTTTTGCGACCAAATCGCGATTCTGTAGCCAAGGCCTTGGACAGGGCGGAGGAATTGGCGAAATTTCATTCGGACCTGGACTCCAGGTTGGAGATTTTTAGTTCAAGGTGTCTTGGTGTTTCCAGGAAAGGTGTAGAATGCTTAAGTTTAAAGCTTTCGAGGTCAAGGGTTTAGGGTGTAGTCAAGGTGAATATTCTGGATAGTAGTCGCATTTGGGGCGAAGGTTTGGGGGCTAAGCATATTACTGTTAATGCGAATACTAGAAACAATATCAATATGCTGTTGAGGGTTTCGGGTTAGGAGATGTCGGAGTGCTCAGACAGTCCTTTCACAATGAATACGCGCTGCAGCCCGTGTTCGGGATAAGATTTAGGGTTTATTCTCTATTGGTTTTATGGTTTAGGGTCATGCGAACGATCATAGGGTTCTCAGTTCGACGCCCGGGAATCTTTAAGATACCTTAATCGTGGGTAGTATGATTTATGTTAGATTCGGATTCGTACTCCAACTATAAAGGCTTCATTTTGAGGAACCCGGATAGAACCCTTGTAGACCCTTTAAAGGAGCCCTTACAGAACCCTTTCAATTAACTCGCTGGATAGGTGACGTAAGTAGTCTGCAGTTCTGGGTCCAGAGAGCCCCCCAGGTGGGTTCTTGATGCTCCCAACCCATGAATCAACCGACTAAGCCCCGGCCCCAAGCCTTACATGCCCCAAACTACACCCTAAACTCACCCCAAGCCTTAAACCCCAAACCAAACGCCCTATAGATCCGAAACACTTAACTGCACTGTGATTACCTTGGAAACCTGGTCCATTCTGCCTCAATTTGCCATAATGACAATAGCACACATGAGTCCTGGATGGCTCCTAATAAGCCTGAGTATTTCCCTATGTTATTCCGCAGGGGGTCCGCATTCTACGTATACTGTTTACTATATGACGTACCGTACCCCAAAGCACTTTTCTAATTATCCAGACCCCCTGTAGTAACGCAACTCTCTCCAACAGGCAGTTGAAAGCTGACATCTTGGAAACATGCTTACTTACTTAGCCCATGGGAGAGCTTCAAGCTTTTTGGCCTCTTGTATTCGGTGTTCGGTCTTTCTCGGAAAGTTTAGGCTTTCTCATCCCGGATATTGAAGAAGAGAGTTTAAATCCGCTACCCATAAGGTTGGAACCCTTAACCCTTAGTCATAGGGACCCTTAGGTGGGGTTGGGGGAAGGTGGGGGGGCCTCAATACGTATTATAAGGACTCCCGCCTTCCCCCTACCCCCCTAAGGGTCCTTATGTCTAAAGCCTTTGAGCACAGAGTCGTTCTCGCAAGTCCTTAAATGCAGCTGTGGCATTGCGGTGCGGGCATAGGAGGGCCAAGAAAGCGCACACCCCTTGAAACTCCGAAGTCAAACACAGGTGCCTTCACAATTAGAAGAGAGTTTGGGAGTATGTTATAACTGTTATGATTTCTTTACATTAAAGAACTCTAGGGACTAGGGAATAGGAGTTCCAATGGTTCAGGTCCGTATATTTCAGGAGCATTGTAATAAGCATTTTGACAACAGTTCAGGTCTGCGCGTTTTTGAAGATTCTCGGGTAGTAGCATTGATCGTGGCAAGTTTGGGCTTGCCGACGCGATGTGAGCAGGCTTCATTCAACCCCGCCGCACTCACTGCTTTTCATAGGTCCCATCAGTGACGGACACAGAGTAATACAAGGCCAGCCATAATAGCGTAGCACCTTCATATCGCTTACAGGGATACCTCCAGTCCAAGAGAGCACTGAGAGCGACCCCTGCCTGTAGGCTTCGCACCATCCGTGTGCCGGGGCCCCGATATCATGATGTCGCAGCAGCATTTCTCTTGGAGCGCATTGTGGTTTCAGGATATGTTTCTTTGCTTTGTGTGGAAGGGGAGCGGCGGAGGGGCGGAGCTTGCATTGGTGTAATCAGGATTCAGGATTCGAAGGAGTTGTTTCACCAAGTTTTATCATGACATGCCTCATGCTGAACTGTGCGGTAGGCTCCCAACTATCCAGGCAAGGAGCCCAGGTCTGCATCACGGTTCAGGGTAGTTCGCTAAATGCACCTTTCTTGGGATGCCTCAAAATGGGGGGGGGGGGGGGTCCGAAAATTTGGGGTACCATATTTTGGGGTCCTTATAATAAGGATCCTACTATTCAGGGTACTAAATCAGGTCCCTTGTTTTCGGAACCCCCCACATGTGTAGAGCTCAGAACCGAATTAACATCAAGACTTGTCTCTAGAACACTACAAGTCCCTCGCTAGACCCTAAGAATTTCCACCGTCCGTGTCTTTTGCAGCAGCTGGCTCTCCATCCCACACCAAAAGCGTTTGTCACAGTTGCTTGCTTATTCCAAATTCGAGGTTTAGAGTTCGAGTTCCGACCTACAGGACATAAGGACCTTTTGGGATTTTCGGCGTCGGCGTTCGGGTCTTTTTCGCAGGGTTTTCGGCGTTTCGGGCGCAATGGGCATCCTCAGCTTCCTGCTTCGACCCTCTCGGCCGGCACCCTTCGGGGAGGCGCTTGGTCGATCTCGGAAAGTTTAAGCCGCTTTTCTGGGTCAGTTTTTTGCAGACGAGAGAAAGTCTTGTAGAGGCCTTGCATAGAAGAGTTGTATTTGCTTGTAAGGTTTTTGCACAGATCTTGTCCGGGGCTTATATTTCAGGGATTTAAGGAGGTTGCAGGCAGAGGTTTGAGTATCCTGACCATAAATCCTGCACTGACTCTCCTGATCCCACTCTGCCTTGCATACTCCGCGCAGAGCTAACCCAAAAAGTGTGCATAAGAATACCTTCAGGATTCAGGGAAAAGGTCTGCCAGGCGTTGGAGTGTTAGGGGCAAGTTTCAGACAATCCAAAACATCATCGCAAGAAATACACCGTCAATCTTACTAGGATCATTTGCACCTGAGTGCGGTTTAACCCTAAACCCTAAACCCTTTAGGGTTATACTGCGGTATCTTCAAACTTAGGCAAGTACGGCCTTGATTGATGGCCCAGTAATGTAGGAACCTGGCTGAGAAACCTCGGGCCTTTGTTAGGGTTCCTAGGGTTTAGGGTTTAGGGTTTAGGGCTTAGGGTTTAGGGTATTTTGGGGTTATAGGCCCAGGGTTTCTGAATCAGGCGCCTTGCATTAGTCAACCTGAGTCCTCTTGCCGTGCTTGCCTGGGCGGGGGAGCGAGATGTCAGGGGAGCTGGACAGCGGGAAGCACTGGGTTCCTGTCAAGAGAGCTTATAACTTAAGTCACCATAATCCGGAAGCCATCCGATTCACTATAGATCCCCACCATGGTAACTTAATTCCAATCCTTTCATATCTTCAGGTGCTAACTACTTGGGTACCTTTCCCAAAAAATCCCTCAACCGGATGCGGTTTGAAGTTTAGGGTTTAGGGTTGAGGTAAAAAGCTTGGCGACACGCAAGGCTCGTAGGGTTAGCCCTAAAGAAAACCTGAAATGCAAAGCCAACACTAAATCCCTATAGCCCTATAAACCCCCAAACCCCGAACTTTTTGGAAACCCTAAGAAATATTGAGTCTAGTCTCTCATAAAGATTTAGCATAATATCCCTGATACCGAACCCCACATCAGCGCAACAGGTTGGATACTGCCCCACTCAGTAACAGTTGATTAATGCTCATAGTATGGAAAACTAAGGGGCCCATTATAGACTGCTATTGTATGGGGGGCAGTATTCAGGCTCTTCCGCAAAAGCTAGGCCACCCAGCAGCACCCGTTTGCCCCTTTTCTTTTTGGGTGCCCTTCTTAAGCCTTCTATCTACTACTATTTGCTTAAGAACCCCCAAAAAATGAAAAATATATTCCTTATGGGGGTAATATAGGGATTATTATTTTTATTTTTTGGTGGTTTCTTAAGCAAATAGTAGTCTAACTCCAAGGCCCCAATATTAGCAAGCGCTCTAGGGGCTTCGCTTCCTGCGCCAGCAGGTCCAAAAGCTGGGCAGCGTGCGGCAGCGACTCACCTTTGAAACGACTACGAAGCAGCTTGCCTTCTCTTATGCTTAGAAATATTTTCGAATCTTTGGTTATTCTGACCCCTAAGAAACTGCCAGAAATAGAACCTTTGCTAGGGGTCCATGTTCAGTATAGTTCTCGGTTTAGGGCTATGGGGTATCAATGTTCTGGGGTTAGAGTTTATCTTTCTTTCTACTAGGGCCTACTAGGGTTTAGAACAAGAACTTACAACAAACTGGTTATGATAGTTTAAGGTAAGGTTTGGTTTTAGTGCACGTTTCAGACAGGCACACAAGCTTGTTTAATGAAGGAATACCAGGATCCCCCAAGGTACTTCATCTAGAGCCCTGATTATCCGTACTGCTGGGCGTTTGGGGTATGCCATAGGGGCCTTAATAATTACCTATACTAGTTTGGTGGTCCCTTATTATGCTTATATATTACAGTGGGCCCCCAAAACCCTACAGGGAACTCCAGAAAGTTGGAATATGGATTAATGGTAGGATCCCCTATAGTCTACCTTAAAGGGGTTACGATAATGATATTCCAACTTTCTGGCTTCTACTGTTTTCTAGTCATCAAGGCGCCTACAGTAGTCGAGGGTAGTTGGGCTTGGTATACCCGGAACCCCCAGCCCGAGCTCTTCACCAATCAAGGAAGCTGGGCTTAGGCTTTAGGGTTTAGGGTTTAGGGTTTAGGGGTTTAGGGTTTAGGGTTTAGGGGTTTAGGGTTTAGGGTTCCTTGAGGGTTTAGGGTTAAAGCTTGTCAAGTTTGCGAGGTTGCAGTTGAACGGTTGGTTTCAGCATTTAAGGGTTTTTGCTTTTGTATTCGGAGTTGTCACTTGGCTTGGAGCAGGATGGACATTGTCTACCTGTGACAGCTGTTTTTGTTGAGTTTTGGCCAAGATTGGGCCGGCACCCACATAAAAGGGACCCTATTTCGAGAACTACCTTAAGCTGTGTTTCAGAGACCTTCTACTACTTCAAGGATCATGAGACGTAGTAGCTAGGGGTTGGAAATCAGGTAGCTGTACTTACAAATACTTAAAGCCCTGATGACGATACCTTTTTACGTAGTAGCTGGGTGGGTAACAATTAACCTTTCGGGATTTATACCATCCTACCATAATTTATAACTCAAAAGGTTAACCTCCTTTGGGCTAGGGTACTCAGCCCCTAAGTATAGCCGCACTTGCCAAATCCCTTGATTTTCCAAGTAGCGATGCTCCCGAAACCATAATACGGATGGCTTTTTGGGATTTGTTTCTACCGTGGTAGTTTTAAACCCTAAACCGTATATTCCGAAGCCCTAAACCCAAGTAGTGATGCTCCCAGGAATGGCGCGCAAGATCTTCTGGTTCAGGCTTTCTACCCTGCAGAGGCAGATGAGATCATCGCTGCAGCTTCAGGGTTCACAATAACAGGGTTTCTAGGATGCCCAGTAGTACCCTTATTCCCTTTATGTGATCCTCGGTTCCTTATAAAGGTACCTAATACCAAAAAGGGAGACCTTTTTATTCCTAGGTTACTCGGCATCCTAGGTTTAGGGTGTAGGGCTTCTACAGTTTAAATTTAGGGTTTAGGGTTTAGGAGCTTGCAGGTTCAGGATTTAGGGGTTCAGGGTTGTTCAGGTGTTTTCCTACGGTCAAAGAAGCTTGTAGAACACGTACAAAACAGCGTTCACGTATCTAATAGCTGTTAAGGTTCCGCAAACCCTAAACCTTAGGGTTTAGAGAAGTGTGTAGGGTTTGGGGTCCGGAGTTTTCAGCGAAATTTGTGAACGTTTTCTTTGTTCTTTAGTGTTGATTTTGAGATTGTGGGTCGGGGGACTTACTAAGTAGTTATTTTAGAGAGTTATAGGTACCATAACCCCAATTGGGGTCCCCTTACGGGTACTTATAACTCTACTTATTACCTGCTTACTCCACCAGCTCTTTGTGAGCCTTTGCATCTGCCCTTCACCCTAACCTGAACCCTGTGCCCCTGTAGCCGACACCCAAAACTCTAAAACCCAAAGCCACTTCAGAACCTGTAGAGGAGGAGAAGCAAGCCGAGAGGAATCTTCCAGACTCCTACCCAGAGACTCCAAAACCCCTTAACTGCGGAATGTTCCTCAAGAGTGTTGGGACTTGGGCTTAGGGTTCAAAGGGCTTGGCAAGTTTAGGCCTTAGGGAGAGAAAAGTGCGGAGGATGTTCGCAACCCAGACGCGAAGCCGCTTAGCTGCAGACGAGATTTATTCCCTGAGGTGTTTAAGCAGTTTCGTAGACAGAGTCTTAGTGTTACGGGTTTACGGGATTTGGGTTTTAGGGCTTTACGGCGCTAAAATCAATCGATTGGGGTTTACTACTACGGTGGGTTTCAGATTTTGCTCCCGGTTTCTACAAGTTATGTTGAGATCTTTCTAGGGTTCAAAAAGCATAGCGGGTGGGTATTAGCCAAGGGGTGGTAGCTCTGACTTCAGACCGAGAGAGCATCGCCTTTGGGGTTTAGGGCACAAACTCCCAGCAAGTTGGAAAGGCTTTATTTACTAGGTGGTAATTTGGGAAACTTTTTAATTTCCCTTGTGGTCCCTATAGAGGTACCTATTCATAAATACTTTTCAGAGCCCTAAAACTACAACCCAGTTTAGGGTTTGGGGCTTAAGGTTGCGAACCTAACCCCTCAAGAGCCCAAGGCCATTCCGACCATGATGTAATCAGGAGGCCCTGTAGGAGCCATCTTTCGCCAGCCACTTCATGGGGGAGCCGGGGTGGCTCATGTGCCAGAACCCACCCCTTTCCAGGGCTTTTGCCTAGAGAACAGCTTCCGAAATTGGCTCCGTAATCTACGCTCTTTTGGCCCAACGGTTGCAACCACAAGTCTTGCAATGTCCGAGCTGGATGTTTGCTGCTCCTCCCCCTGGAAGAGCGCAGTTGGAACAGCCAACGTCAGCCGATTCTGGCCATGACTCGTCTCAGCATGATGTGCCACGCAACCTCCACACGGTTTCGTCTCCCACATGAACCCTAAACCCTAAACCCTAATCTAACATTCGGTGTGTCTATGTCACATATCAGGGCGCACTGTCGGATAGCGGTTTAGGGTTGAGGGTTTTTAGGGTTTAGGGTGAACACGGGCCTGGCTTAGACTTTGGGGTGTCGCGTTTTAGATTGGGTGTTTAGGCATGTAAAGTTTAGGGCTTTCTTGATGTCAGAACATCTGGCGTGGCCTTTTTGTTCCCATGTCCTTTGCGTTCTTCTTCTGGTTGGCTCTTAGGACTTTAACTTTTGGGCTTCTACATGAACCATAGTCAGGAGGCGAAAAGTTTGACTTTTTGGAGTGGGAACCATAATAAAGAAACCCTAAACCCTCAACCCTGAACTTGGATGGGTTCAGAAATCAGCCAAGTGTCAGTATGGGACTGAAAGCTTCTTGACTAGGATTTGAGGTTTGGGGTACAAGGATGTGGGAGTTTAGGATACACCTTAAGCCTGAATAACCTACCTTTCTAGGGTTCCTTCTCATGGTTTCCTTGAATAAGGTCCTTAGAAATGTGGGTTCTTTGGGTTTAAGGCAGGGCTTAGGGGTTTAAGATTTGGTAGGCCTTTGGGATTCAAGTTATACAGGCTTTTCAGGTTGAGGAGACATACAGGATCTCGGGGATTCGCAAGCAGGTTAAAGGTAGATCTAGAGCACAGTAACCTCGACGGTATAGGGTTTTGGGGTTTAGGGTTTAGGTTTACCTCAATGAAGCTAGTTGTAGCTTCTCAGTGAAGCTAGTTGTAGGTTCACCTGCGTTGTGATTTCGTATCTCCTCCGATCCTTCAGCACGAAAAACTCCAACCCTGTTGCCGCTCGCTAAATCCACGTGCGATCGCATTTTTCGCGATCCCACACTTCGTGGCTGTTCTACCTTGAAAGTACCCACCCATTCACGTGGGTCGCCTAATAGTGCTCTTACACCAGTTATTCGCTTTGTTTCTCCGTCTTTAGACTGACAGGTAAGAAATCTTACACCCTTGTAGGTCCAAGGGATTGCTGGGGAGGAAGCCTAGCCATAGCATCACGAGGATCGGAACGGCAAGCAGAATCCATATGGGTAGTTGTCAAAATTAGGGTTCCTTTTTGTGGGTCCTTATTCTACTACGGCACCAAATATTTGGGGTACCGGGGTACCCAAAAAGGGACCATAATTTTGACAACCACCTATATGCAAAGTACAGTTTCAATCATAGCTGTAAGTCCACCAGTAGCCTGCTTGCTAAGTCCTCTGAACATGTAAGCACATACTCAGGGGATCCTGGGACTGAGTAAGGTTATGAGGACCATTCTTCGTTCTGTAAGTAGCGAGTAGAGATGAAGTAGGGCTTATATTACCATTTTGGTGAGTGGCTCCTTTTGAATTTTGGTGAGTGTAGGGATACTAGTAATACAAACCATACTCTAGATACGCACCTTCTGTATATCCCCAGCCACTCCGTCCTATGGTCATTCAGGTACACTCTCACGACAACCCCGAAAGCAAACTTGACTGGCACCCCAAGACTCAGACGTTGCCGGGTCCCCGATGATCTGAGCATTTATTCTAGGATGCCCAGTAGTACCCTTATTCCCTGTGTGTAGTCCTAGGTTCCTTATAAAGGTACCCAATACCCAAAAGGGGGCCGTTTTTATTCCTAGGTTACTGGGCATCCTAGCATTGCATACAGCGCACCGGAAAAGCCAAACCACAGGCCAAGAGTCTTCCCAAAGCCTACATCCAGGGACCCTGAACCCCTACTTGGAGGGTGGGGGGACTTACTAAGTAGTTATGTTAGAGAGTTATAAGTACCATAACCTCAATTAAGGTCCCTTTTAGGGTACTTATAACGCTACGTATTGCTTACTTACTAACTCCCCCGACACTCCACGTACTCCCAAACTCCCACGATCTCGGGCCCTAAGCTTGCAATCCTAGACCCTAATACCGAAAGCACTAAGCCCTGGACCTCAACCAGAACCTCTAAAGCACTAAGCCCTAAAATCCTGAAAGCCTTCGACCTCCAAAACCTTTTAAGCCTAAACCCTTAGACCCCTAAAACCTCAGAACCCTAAAACCGTAAACCCCGAGCACCCCAAGCGGAGCTTTTGAAAACTTTAAGCCCAAAGCCCCTCGAACCCGAAAATTTAGAACCCTAAAACCTTAGAACCCTAAAACCTTAGGACCCGAAAACTTAGAAGCCTAAACGCGGAGCATCGGAGCATCTGACGCTCAGGGAGGAGCCCTTCTTCCGTGAGCAGATCTACACGGATGCTTTGTCTGGAATCTACCCTAGTAGTACAGTAGGCAACCTTTAACTCTGTTTGGGTAGTATAGTCCCTATATAATCCCTATATAATTAGCCAACAAGGTTACTTGGAGGGTCGGGCGACTTAGTAGGTAGGTAATAAGTAGAGTTATAAGCACCCTAAAAGGGACCCTAATTGGGGTTATGGTACTTATAACTCTCTAGAATAACTACTTAGTAAGTCCCCCGACCCTCCCAGTAAGAGGGTCCAGGTATCTCCTTAGGAGGGTCCGGAATCTCCTGGTGGGGAGAGTCCTTGGGTCTCTTTGGGGTTTCAGAAACCCTCAGTTTTGAGGTTCCCCAATTTGTTAGGACCCTGAGGGTACTAACCAAGAGGGTCCATACATGCTGCTATTATGGAATTAAGTTCCCAAAACTATAATAGTAGGGATGGTCTTTCGGGACTTGATTCCATACTGTTAGCATATATGGGCCCTCTGGGGACTAAGGATGGTTGTCAGATTAGACTTCGGGTCCAGAGTTCGGGGCTGGGCGTAGAGTCATTTACAGAGGATGGCTCTCGGTCTAGTGATGCTTTCTTTGGGGGCCACTTGGAGGGTCGGGGGACTTACTCAGTAGTTACTCTAGAGAGTTATAAGTACAAAAACCCCAATTAGGGTCCCTTTTTAGGGTACTTATAACTCTACGTATTATCTACTCACTAAGTCCCCCGACCCTCCAAGTAAGCTAGCTCTCCCAGTGGGCCCTTTGTCCGCCTTTTGTGGTCTTAGGTTCTTCGTACAACTCCCCAATACCAAATTTCTATGCCTGGGTTACCAGGGATCCTCATAAAGGATATTTCTCAGATTTGGATTTTCTGGTCTGCAGTTTTGAGAATTGGGTGTAAAGTCCTGACTGAAAGACGGTGTTTCAGATTGGGAGCTTGCAGTTTATCATTTTGGAGGCTTTTGGTATGAGAACTGAAGATCAGATTTTAGGTATAGGTTGGATTCTACTTGAGTTTGCAAAAGATGGTTTGGGTATAGGTTGGATTCTGCTGGTCTTTGGGACGGGGTCTCCAAGAAGCCCTGCGAGGCGAGTAGAGATGCAGGAACGATCCAAGGTTGGAAGTATGGGCCCCTAGTATGGACCCTTTGGCCGTGTTGAGGAGATTCTAGGGACCCTTAAGTTTATGTAGGGTATATAGTAGGCACAAAAGGATCCCGAGGCTAAGGGCCCATGCTAGGGGCCCATGGTTTCAACCGTTGAAACGATGAGCGGACGCTACATGTTGAAGGTGAGGCTTTGCGTCCCGTTGGCTTTGGGGTTTGGGGTTTCGTACTTACAAGAGTTTATATCGGTTGGGGGTTTAGGAGTTCGGGGGTCAGGTTCTCAAGGGCTGGGGTCTAGGGTCCGTTGGGTTCTGGGTCTAGTGTTTAATTCGGGTTTGCAGTTTGGTGTTTTCGCAACAACGCCACTTTACTGCACATTCTGCACGTAAGTCTGAATAATTGGCTTTTCGCTCTGCTTGCCCGTTGAGGATGTAATTTTTACATTAAATTTTGCTACAAGATACGCCTGACCCCTGCTACAATTATCGAAGTCCCTACATTACTTGTTATGTTATCCTAGGATGCCCAGTAGTACCCTTATTCCCTTTTTGTAGTCCTAGGTTCCTTATAAAGTTACCCAATACCAAAAAGAGAGGCCTTTTTATTCTTAGGTTACTGGGTATCCTAGTATATTCTGGTACCCTTATAGATCCCTTATAGTAGCCTTTTTAAAGGACCCCTTTAAAGGAACCCTAGTTGTCTTTTTATTCTTAGGTTACTGGGTATCCTAGTATCCCTGGAACAGCACTTATCATGCTCGCACGTCCCTCAACCTCCAAGCCCGAATACACAGAACCCACCGGACCCTGGCCCCCAAAATTTGAAGTTCAGCTTTAGGGTTTAGGGTTTAGGGTTTAGGGTTTAGGGTCTAGGGTTTAAGGTTTAGGGTTTAGGGTTTAGGGTTTAGGGTGGGTGTTGCTCAATAATAAAGGCCTCTTGACATGCCTTAATCGAGATGATGGGATACCTTCGATGTACCTTCAACATCCCGAAACCCCAAACCCCTAAACCGTAAACCCTTAAACCCTAAACCTTAAACCCTAAACCCTAAAATCCTAAAGATCCCTTTTTATAGAGCCCTTAAGAGAGCCCTTAAGGAACCCCTCTAGATCCTTTACAGGAACCCCTAAACCCCTAAGCCTTAAAGCTTTACCCAGGTTTACCCTAACCTTCAAGCTTCAACTCTGTTTGGAGGGTCGGGCGACTTGGTAAGTAGATAATACGTAGAGTTATAAGTACCCTAAAAGGGACCCTAATTGGGGTTATGGTACTTATAACTCTCTAAAATGACTACATAGTAAGTCCCCCGACCCTCCAAGCAAGCTTCAACTTTAAGACCCGACCTCCGAGGCGCTTAGGTTTTTGGCTATGTTTGGGCTTTGGGGTTTGAGAGGTCAATTTGGGGGGTTGAGAGGTTTAGAGCCCAGAATTCAGGGTTTGGGCTTTTGGGGTTTAGGGTTGTCAGTGTGGGGTTTTGGAAACCCTTCCTCCTGAAAATTTCAGCCCAAGGAGATAGGCACGAAGAGGGACATCCCCTTGTGGGGTCTCCGCGCATTGCTTGACTGCCACCTCGGCTTGAGTTAGAGGAGTGCGGTGGCAGAGGCTCCGTAGAAGAGTCAACCTAGGGGCCTACATGCTACCGATATGGGAGTTTCCGAAAATAGAGGACCCTTATATAGGGTTACCCTAAATAGTAGGATCCTTATGAAAAGGACCCCAAAATAAGGTACCCCTAATTTTCGGAAACTCCCATATCATCATTCCTTAGGGTTCCTTATGATGGTTACCTTAACCCACCAGAGATTACTTTTTGTAGGGTCCCTATTTATTGCATGTTGGGGTTTATAATAAGGGCCTACATAAAAGTACAGTAGAAGCCAGAAAGTTGAAATATCATTATCGTAACCCCTTTAAGGTGAATTATAGGGGATCCTACCATTAATCCATATTCCAACTTTATGGAGTTCCCTGTAGGCTTTGGTAGGTTAAGGAAGACTTCTGATATACCCCGCAACTCTATTGGATGGCCCACTTCGGGTACTGCTGCCTCAAATAAAAGGCTCCCGGCGGCGTTCAGCTATATGTTGCAAGTAGGACAACCCCAGTGAGTTTATGAGTTTGGGGTTAAGAGAGTAGGGCATGCCTGATCCCGAGACACTAAGCCTGGTTCCCTTACCCCGCTTCAAGTCCTTTTCCACACAGTGGCCTTGCTAACTAGACTAGAGTTTTAGTGTAGATTATGCCATATTTATAAGAAGGAACACCAAAATGGCAGTTTCCGAAAATAGGGGGCCCTAATATAGTACCCTAAATTCGTAGGCTCCTTATTACAAGGAACCCAAAATAAGGTACCCCTAATTGTCGGAAACTCACAAATGGTTTTGGTAATTCGTTAGGCCTCTACCCTAAACCCTCAATCCTAAACCCTAAATCCTAAACCCTAAACCCTATATAACCCTATCTGAATGTAGTTAGGCCTCGATATTAAACATGTCTACATCGCCTTTAGGGTTCGCCCTCGAAGATTCGGTGGTAGGGTGTACTTGGAGCGTCGGGGGACTTACTAAGTAGTTCCTTAAAGGGATATGTAAGGATTCCTTAAAGGGCTCTATTAGAGGGGTTTAGGGTTTAGGGTCTACTTGGAGGGTCGGGGGACTTGCTAAGTAGTCATTTTAGAGGGTCCCTTTAAGGGTACTTATAACTGTACTTGTTATCTACTTACTAAGTCCCCCGACCCTCCAAGTACCTGGCCTGAACCCTGAGTGACCTACCTTTCTAGGGTTCCTTGTTATGAATTCCTTGTTTAAGTCCTTAAGAAGGTAAGTTATTCCGGGTTAAGGAGGGTTCAGGGTGTAGGGTTTAGGTTTTAGGGTTAGGGTTCATGATTTCGGGTGTAGGGTTTAGGCTTTAGGGCTACCCTAAGGGTCTAGGTATCTCCTTAGGAGGGTCCGGAATGTCCTAGCGAGAGTCCTTGGGTCTCTTTGCGGTCTCGGAAACCCTACGTACTGAGGTTCCTCAAAGTGTTAGGACCCTGAGGGTAGGGTTCAGGATTTGGGGTGTACTTGGAGGGTCGGGGGACTTACTAAGTAGTTATTTTAGAGAGTTATAAGTACCATAACTCCAATTAGGGTCCCTTTTAGGGTACTTATAACTCTACTTGTTATGTACTTACTAAGTCCCCCGACCCTCCAAGTAGGGGCCCCAGCTGAGTTCCGCAAATCGATGCGCCCCTGCGGCCTGGCAAGCCCGACTCTTCGAAGATGCCTGGCTGCCCTGTGGGTGGTTGTCAAAATTCGGGTCCCTTTTTGGGTCCCTTTTTCCTAAAAAAAGTTTCGGCACCTATTATTTAGGATACCAAAAAAGGGACCCTAATTTTGACAGCTGCCCATGTCAAGTCGAATCGTGGCTTCGTTTTGGAGTTGTGTCAGGTTTGGAGAGGATCCTTGTACATACCTTAACCTCCAGTAACCTACCCTTCTAAGGACTTCTATAAAGAAATCATAGCAGGGAACCCTAAAAAGGTAGGTTCCTTAGGCTCCGGGTAGTGGTTAGGAGTCCCAGAGGTTCTAGGTTCCGAGGATAAAAGGAGGGACCCTTAATAAGGACCCCTAGGTATATACCCTTAATATAGCCATTATATACCCATTATATAGCCCATTATAGGGTAGGGATCCCGGATCCCCATTAAGGGTCCCTCCTTTTCCCCTTTGATAGGTTCAGGGCTTTCGGGATTCGGGATGTTACTCCCTTTTCATGTTGCCGTCTCCCTATTCAGACTGAATAGAAGGACGAACTGTGTCCTAAACCTAAACCCGAAAAGTGGAGAGGATAGCGCCCCTTCGTAAGAGTATAAGACCTGAATGATTGCCAATAGTATCCACATAATTACAGCCCCGTTTTTTCCCACAGGTTGCAATGCCTTCAAGAACCCTACTCTGCGCTAATCATGCAAGCATCGACATTAGGAACCCCTTAGAGCCCTTCCAATCTTTTGTAGGTTTCCTTTGAAGAAGAAAGCCGTAGTCTATTCAATCAGGCACCACGCTAAGAACCTGTTTAGCTAGGGTTCGAAATCCCCAAACCCTAAACCCCGAAACCCGAGACTTTGAGGAAATGGCCCGTGGCCGTGTTTTCCTCGGGGCTATGGGGCTCATGCAGCCTGGCTTAGGGGACGTCAAGGTAAGGGCTTTAAGATTTATAGGGTTTGGGGACAACCCAGACCACCGGGAGGATCCAAAAAGTAGATGCCCTACTGGGAACCCAAACTCAAGGGTACTTTAGAGGAACCCTTGAAAGTCTTGAAAGTGATCTATTTTTTGGCTCTTCCCGGGGTTTGAGATCTTGGGTTCCGGGGTTAGGCGTTAGTTAGAGACCCAAAAAGCACATAAGCATAAGCATGTTATGGGGATATCCCTACCTTATTGGGTTTCAATATCAGGGGATTTATATGGGACATCCCTATCCTAAGTTTTGCTTATGTGCCTTTTTGGGGCCCTAGTTAGTGCTTTGGTGGTTGGGGCTTCGGAGTCTTAGGAATAAGCGCTACTCGGACCTGCACATTCAAAGGGGAAAAGGAGGGACCCTTAATGGGGATCCCTACCCTATAATGGGCTATATAATGGGTATATGATAGCGATATTAAGGGTATATACCTAGGGGTCCTTATTAGGGGTCCCTCCTTTTACCCTTGGACACATGGGTCGTCTGGGTTGGAGGAGTATGGGACCTCACAGGTCCTTGGGATTGAAGGTCTACGATTTGCCGCTTCCCGTCCAGAAGACGTCATGAAAAGGTCATCCGTCAAAATTTGGTGCTGCCGCGATTCCAAAGAGGCTCCCAGCATTAAGACTCTTTTGGCACAAAAAGTGCGTAGTAACGGTTGATGGTATCAATCCTGCACTACCTTAAGGACCTTAAACTATGGGAATTATGGTCTATTCCTTATTCCGGATCATGCAGGATTTATATCATCAACCATATCCCTTATAACTGGATTTTCCCAGAGTTGCCATCGTTTAGAGTCCTTAAAGTGATGCAAGATTTATACCATCAACCATAGTAATCGGTCTGCGAAGCCAACACCAGCAGCCCTAGACCTGCCCAGCGAGGATGCTACTTGGAGGGTCGGGGGACTTAGTAAGGAGGTAGTAAGTATAGTTATAAGTACCCTAAAAGGGATCCTCATTGGGGTTATGGTACAAAACTCTAGAAGCTGACTACTTAGTAATTCCCCCGACCCTCCAAGTACTTCTGGTGACAGAGGGATGCGGACGCAAAAGAGGGGCTTAAAAGCAAAAGACTGCCCAGTGAGGTGAGATGTACACCCAATTCTGCCGGGATCTGGCAAGTTTGGGCGTGATCGTCCTGGCCCTCGAGCACGAGGACGCGCTTTAGGCATACTTAGACAATGCAGGATGTTTTAGCTTTTCGAGCGGTCGTGCTACTGTCAAGTTTGAGCTTTCTGTGGAGCTTGGTTGTTGAACCCTAAACGTTAACCTAGCCATTTGGGCTGCGACGGCTAGACCTCTAGTGCAGAACCCTAAACCCCTACACCCTAAACCTGAAAGCCGAAGAAGGAAGCCACAAAAATTTGAGAAAGAAGCAAGCGCTAATACAACAAGGAAGCAGGTTTAGGGGGTTCGGGCTTAATTACAGGATTTAGGGCTTATGGGGTTTAGGGTTTATGGGGTTTAGGTTTTAGGAGCTTATAGGGTTTAGAGCTTATGGAGTTTAGGGTTGAGGAGGGCTGGGGGCTTACAGGGTTCAGGGTTCATGGGGTTTAGGGGTTCAGGGTTCATGGGGTTGGTTTAGGGCTCATGGGGTTTAGGGTTTAGGGGCTTAGGGGGTTTAGGGTTCATGGGGTTTAGGGTTTAGGGCTCATGGGGTTTAGGGTTTAGGGGTTTAGGGTTGAGGGTTCATGGGGTCATGGGGTCATGGGGTCATGGGGTTTAGGGTTTAGGGCTCATGGGGTTTAGGATTTAGTCAGCAGAACCAAGACTGTCTGGTTCTCAGTAGGGAATGGGGGAATGGGTGACAGGGACTACTACAAGGAACCAATAAGGGACTACCATGGAGATCCCTTCCCCCATTCCCTACTAAGAACCAGACAGAAAAAGGATGGGAGCGGCATTTGGGCCACGAGCGGTACTGGCGAGCCCATCCCGTACAAGGATCCACCCTCAGGCGAGACGGAGGGCTTTCGAGTGATGCAGATCCCTTGAAAGGAACCCCATAGATCCCTTTATAGGCGTAGAGGCATAGCCTATTATAGGTTCTTTTGCCATTCGTTTAGCATTTTTGGGGAGGGTTTAGAGACAGGGGCCGGAATAGTTCGTAACATTTTGCCTTTGAATCAGTTGATACACGTGCAGCAAAGAAACGTTCAGGTGTTTTGTCGAGCATGGTGACCCTCAACAGAAAAAACGTGCAAGGTTTCAGCTGTAACATTGGAATTCAGGACCTGGCAAAACTACAAAGATGTAACGCAGGTGCCTGCGTAACAAGTACCGACATCCTTTTCGTGGCAGCTTTTTCAACTAACCATGCTAAACTACATCACACCATATTTTTGTTCAAAGTAGAGGCCTATATGCAAGATCCAAAAGTCTATCAATACTACACCCCACGTTCTATTTCTTCACGCCCTACCGTAACCAAAGCCTTCGTCAAGGCAATCCTATTCCTGTTTTGGTCTAAACTTTGACATACCCCAAACCCTATTCGAAGTGCCGCGGCACCCCATGTTAGGTTCCTTAGCGCAAAAGGATCGTAGAGCGATCCCTCAGGGCCCTCCAGAAAGATCCCTATACCATGAACTATCGTCTCCTTAGGATTTTTGTATTTTTGTTCATATAAACCCCAGGAGAACACCAAAATACTACTTCTATTATGGTTCTAACGGGGGGTATAGTAGTAAACCCTGTCCAACCAACCCGGAGACTCACAATATCACTCAAGGAATAATCCTACTTTTAAGGTATATTCTTTGCTTAAGGGATATTGGAGTCTTTGGGTTCCTCATTTGGGTTGTGCTTTGGGGTTAAAGCACAAACCAATCATTCCATGGCGAGGCTCGACGATTCCTGAGTTTCGTGCTCCGCAGTTGGACCAGAGGCACCCGAGTAGAGAGGCAAAGCCTACCTTAACCCCAAATAACCTACCTTTTTCAGGACTTATATAAGGAAATATAAGGAGATCATATTAAGTAACCTACCTTTTTAAGGACTTATATAAGGAAATATAAGGAAATCATATTTCGTAACCTACCTTTTTAAGGACTTATATAAGGTAAAAGGGTAGGTTTCTTAGGGTCCAGGTACTTAAAGGATCATGGGACTTAGCAACTAGATTCTTCCTTAAAGGACTCCTTCAAGGGTTCTATAAGGGGGGAGACTTAGAGGATCGTGGGACTGCGTAGGGCTCCTTGAAGGGATCTATAAGCGGTTCTAGAAGGGGGAGTTTTGGTTCATTAACGGATCCTTGGACTTGGTAACTAGGGTTATACATAAGGAAGCTACACCTATGATTACTCACATCCTAATGAAGGTATTTAGATCCTTGCTTCTAGAATAAGCCCCATGATCCTGCAAGCATTACAGACCCGGTTGCACTGGCTCTCTGATTTCTGAGTTGTGGTACTCTGCCCGTCCCTCGCCGAATCTTGATTTAGAACGGACAGTAGTCCATGCTGGGACCCCGCCAGATTCGAAGATAAGGGCCTGAATAATGAGAATGGGGCTTTAATGCTGGTATATTTTGACGGGGACTACAAGTGGATACTTTGACACATCGGCTAGAACCTTACTCTGGGCCAGTCAGGACAATGTCGTTTGATCTTGATTCGCAGTCATGTTTTTCTTGCGTTGTTGTGGTTGTTACGGTCACCTATTGGGATGAACATCCGTGCGCATTAGTATCACAACAGTCGCCATGCTGCTTATTGCTATATTCTTAGATTGCGACTGTGAGTTTGGACTACTGCTAGCCTTCTGCTTCTCATGCTGCTGCTGTCGCTGCTCCCTTTTGCGGCCACGACCATTTCTGCGTGTTCCTACTTGTGCTTCTTCGCAGAATAGTTCCGACCCATTGAAACCCAGACTCCCAGCCACCATCTCAGCATCAATGTGGTTGTGCATGACATCCCAACCCTGCTTCTCAATAAGCACACCAAGAGCATAGGAAAGCGCAGGAATCCCAAACCCCTGTAGTCGGAATAGGGCCTGCAACATATGGGTAGTTGTCAAAATTGTGGCCCCTTTTTGGGCACCCTAAATATTAGGTGCCGTACTTGAACAAGGACCCCAAAAGGGAGCCTAATTTTGACAACCACCCCAGTACCCCTCAATGAAGGAAGGAATACACCTTAAATCATATTTGGGATCCTACTATATCTTTGGGCCTTCAAAATCAAATACGGTTAATGATATAAATCCCTAAACCCTAAACCCTAAACCGATAAGGAATATACCATCACTCCCACTGTTTAGGGTCCTTAAGGTAATGCAGGATTTATATCATCAACCGTATAACTTTGGGCCTTCAAAAGCAAAATATGAAACCCCAAGCCCCGATAACCCTCAACCCCTAAACCCCCTAAACCCCTAAACCCTAAACCTTGCAACCTAAACCCCTAAACCCCTAAACCCTAAACCCCTAAACCCTAAACCCCCAAACCCTAAACCCTGCACCCTAAAACCCTAAACCCTTAAACCCTAAACCCCCAAACCCTAAACCCCTAAACCTTAAACCCCCTAAACCCCTAAACCCCTAAACCCCCTAAACCCTAAACCCCCAAACCTTTGCACCCTAAACCCCCTAAACCTCTCTGCAGACGGAAAAAGGTGCTTAAAAAAAAAAAGAAACTAAACCCCAAGCCCCGGAGATCAGGGCATCGGACCTCGCGGCATCGGCGTTTGCCATCCAAAGCATCGCGCAATCGGAGGCGGGTCACACCAGCGACTCGACCTTTTAGGGTTTTAGGGTTTTCTGGTTGTGGGGGTTTAGGGTTTGAGGGGTTTAGGGGTTTAGGGTTTAGGGGTATAGGGGTTTAGGGGTTTAGGGTTTAGGGGTTTAGGGTTTAGGAGTTTAGGGTTTAGGGGTTTAGGGTTTAGGGGTTTAGGGTTTACGGTTTAGGGGTTTTGGGGGCTAGGGTTTAGGGTTGAGGCTACCAGCGACTCGACCTCAAAGAGCACCTACTTGGAGGGTCGGGGATCCGAAAAGGGCTCCTTAAAGGGATCCCGATTGTAAGGGGATCTATCATGGTGGTGTCGGACTTAGTAGGTGGATACTAAGTAGACTTAGAGTTATAAGTACCCTAAAAGGGATCCTAATTGGGGGTTATGGCAATTTTAACTCTATATAATAAGTACTTTAGTAAGTCCCTCGACCCTCCAAGTAAGGGTGCGATAACTTTAAGGGTCCAAGTGCCTAATCACTATGCCCACTTTCTCAAATACACCTAAATGACATTGCCTAGTCATTCGGACCTTTAGACCCTTAGGGTCCTTTGTTCTTGTTTGAAACAACCTCCGGTTTTTTGTAGATCCATTCAACATGTTTTTTGTTTATGTTTGGCTGGGGGCCTCGGTTTATGGTTTCGGGTTGGGCTTAGTTCAAGACTCCCAGGGGTTTGGGTTAAGCTCGAGGTTCGATGAGGGTTGAATGGGATCATTTTCCACCTGTTTACAGTAAAGTGCCCTCAATAGTTTAGAGCAGCGTTTCCGTGTAGAGTAAACAAATTTTACAGTATTTTGCACATAGAACCCAAATGTGGGATGAAGCTGGATATTGCTCACTCAGTGACTGTTGAATACTACTCAGCCTAGGGATAGTTCTCTAAATTAGGATCCCTTTGAGAGGTCCAGTTTATCACGGTACCGTATTACATTGTGGACCTAAGAAAGGAACCAAAATTTAGGGAACTACCCATATAGATATCTCACGCCGTGAAGAGTAGCCTTGTTATGAATTGTTACTGTAGAGGGGCAGCAGAGTCCTCACAGTAACTGTTGAGGTACTGAATTTGTCGGTGGTAGGGCTCTGGAGCCGCTGGGTTGTTGATGGTTTAGGGTTTAGGGTTTCTGTTGCCGTTGTAGAGTTTGGTCGTTATCCGCCTTGCTTCAGGGGTCCTGCGGCAGGAGGGATCGTAGAATTCTGCATCCAATCCGAAGTCCGGTACCTTCTGAAGCTAGAAGTATCAAAAGGGAAAAGGAGGGACCCTTAATAAGGACCCCTAGGTATATACCCGTAATATAGCCATTATATACCCATTATATAGCCCATTATAGGGTAGGGGTCCCCATTAAAGGGGCCCTCCTTTTCCCCTTTGAAATTAGAGACTTAGTCACTGAATCTATACTGAACCCGGGTGCGACACCGACTGTGTAGTCAATGACAGCGCTTTTGACTCATGCTCCGGGACACTAAGGCAACACCTCGCTGCTGGCAGAGGACGGTGTTTGCGAAACTTTTTTAGAGGATCAGGCGACTTAGTAGTGGGCGCGATACCCTCTTCCCTTCAAGGCCCAGTGTATCTCTACTTAAACCTTTAAGAAGGGGCCCCTTTCTGTTGGGGGGATAAAGGCTTCCTTGGCCCAGAGAACCTTGGATGTCTATGTTATGCTACAAGCCTAGGACCCAGAGTAGGCCCTTATTCCCTTTTTTAGGGTTTAGGTTCCCTTATAACTCCCTTTTAAACCAAAAAGGGCACCCTTTTTATTCATAGGTTACTCTTAGGTCTAGAAGCTAAGCCCTAGATCTCAGACCTCAGCACCCTAAACAGGGCCCGGGGGGCGGCTTAGCTGCGTCTTGTGCCGGGCTTTCTAATCCCGGTGGGTTTTAGTCCTCGTGCCTTCAGGGACACGGTGTTCCCACCTGTTGTTTCATCGAAACCCATGAGAAGCTTCCCCAGATGTTTGGGGAATGTCAAGATGACATGCTGTCGGAATGAACCTGAATGGTCCTATAGCTGTGTGTAGTATACTTGCCTTAAATAGTTCTTTAAATTAGGGTCCCCTTGTTGGTCCCAAAAATAGTACGGCATCCTTATCAAAAGGACCCTAAACGGAACCCTAATTAAGAGAACCACCCGCTTGTCAACGCCCATTGAAGATGAGCAAAGTGCTCAACGACCATAAGCATTGGTGTCTAGGATTTTTTTGAATTTTGGTTTAGGGTTGCTTGTTTGGGTTTGGGATTTCGTCGGAGCCCTCCAAACTCCCCCTGCACCAGGTGCTCCGCACCGGCGATGCAAACGACCTCCACTTTGTGGGCCATTCATTCGGGGCGGCAGGCGGTTGCGGTTTAGGGGTTCATCAGCTTGCTGGCAGTTGACAGGTTGGTGCGGGCTGTAGAAGTGCTGCACAAGGGCTCTATTGCGAACACATACCTGAAGGACCAAATGACACTTCAAAGTCAGGGCTTTATACGCTCAGACTATGAACTCCTACATCGTATGGTATCTGAACCTTAATTACCCGCATTCAGGATAGGTTTCGTCCTTCAGTCCAGATTTTGGGGTTATGTGTTACGGAAGTTAATATGGCCATAGTTTAGGGGAGTTTAATGTTTCCTTTGATGGGGCGTGTTGCAAGGGCTTTAATAAGGTTCTATCAGGGCATACTAAACCAAGTTGCCAAGTATCCAGTAGTACCCTCTTACCCTTCCTCTTTGGGCTCGCTTGTTACATCCAAATAGTATGAAAAAGGCGACCCTTGTCACGAAGGGGCTACTGCAAAACCTAATTAAGGGCTGTGTTAGGATTTGTGAGGTTCTTCTCTGGTTGTGGTAACAGCTATTCGATTCTGGAGTGCATTGAATAGATTCTGAAATTCTGGCTAAAAGGCTTCTAAATCTATGATGTACATCCCGAGTTTTAGGTTGCAGTTGGGCGCAAAATCGAATCGAGACCCTCATGCTTAGAACAGAACTCTGGGGTGCGCAATAAATACTGTTGCAAGCGGGAGCTCTGGGAAATGGTACTACTCATCAGGCAGGCTTCTATAGTAGTGCTTGGGGCTTGGAGAGTATCCTACTCTTTCGTAAGGGTTAGGTTTGTTAGATTTGGTGGGATTCTAGCAGGGTGTTCTCGGTGTCGTTCCTGGATTTGGTTCTGGGTTTACTAGATAGGGCTTTGGGACATTTTATATTTTCCCTTATTGGGCTTAAGAGGATCCTACTTACTAATATTGTTCAAAGGCTTTAAAAGCCCCACCTAGTTTAGGATTTAGTGAGGTTCAATCTTTTTCGGACTTAGCTTCGGATTGCCGTAATTAAGGGTCCAGGAAGCTAACTTTTAGAAGGGGTTCTGAGTGCCATTATGTCATGTAGACCCTGACTAATAAAGTAGACCCTCCTTCGTTAAGGGCCCGAACTTTAGGAGCGTTGCAATAATCCTGAAAATGGGGAGGTTTATTCAGAACTGGCCCGTATCATGGTTCAGGATTTGGCGTACATGGTATGGTTTTGGTTTAGGGTTGTGCAGGTTTCGAGTTGTCGGTTTGTGGCTTTGGGTTTAGGCCTTCATGCATTTACTGGGAAGTCTACGGGAAAGCATAGAAAGTTGGCAGGGCATGAAAGGCAGTGCGAGGGCGCAGGCCGAGGGAGTTTCGGATCCAGGTTTAGGGTTTAGGGTTTAGGGTTTAGGGTTTAGGGTTCAGGGGTTTAGGGTTTAGGGTTTGGGGTTCAGGTTAAAGGTATCAGAGTTGTTAGACTATGACCCAGAGTAGGCCCTTGGTCCCTTTTTCAGGGTTCCGGTTACCTTATAAGCCCCTTTAATCCAAAAAGGGCACCCTTTTTATTCCTAGGTTACTCCGGGGTCTAGTAGAGTCTTGTGCGTTTTTTTGCCTTGCAGAAACGACGGTGTAGAGATTCTTTGACTTCAGGATTCAGTGTGGTTGGGAGCGCCAAAGTAGGGTTCCTTCTAAGATACCTGCTCTGATCAGCTCACTCTCGAAAGCGTCGTAATTCGTAATGAGACCCCGTTTAGAACTGCCTGCGCAATACAAAGCTGCAAAACACGTCTAACGTGGTGCCAGACACAGTTTTCACACATCAGACAAAAGGATCCACCCAATACAGAAGGATCCATCTGATACAGAAGCATGAAGAACTAGCCATATGGGAGTTTCCGAAAATAGGGGACCCTAATATAGCACCCTAAATAGTCGGATCCTTATTATAAGGACCCCAAAATAAGGTACCCCGTATTTTCGGAAACTCGCATATCAGTCCTGGGGGCTCCATTTTGCAATTCTAGCACAGTATACCTGTCTCTGAGTCTCTGAGACCTGAAGCAAGAGGTATGCTCACGTACCTGAAGGACCTCGCCGAGAAGGGCTTAGATTGCCCTTACGGTGCCTCTGGCAGAACCGACTGTAGGGACTTGGGGATTGCGCACGATCGATGTTTAAAGGGTTTAGGGTGGAGGTTTAAAGGTTTAGGGTGGCACTAACACACTGTTAGGAATTTGGTTCTCGTCTTTGTTTAGTGGGGCTCGAGGCAGTGTGCAAGACTACATTGGCATGGCTTTGCTTTGGATCGGTTTAGGCTTAGGGGCTGGGTATTGAACCGTCTGGGGCTCATATAACCCTACTACACTTCAAAACGGTTAACCTTTTTTGGGCTAGGGTACTCAGCTGCTAAGATGCTGTGCCCCTATATGCAGTCAGGATCCTGCTCCGAGAGCCTCAAACTCCAAAGCCTCAAGAAAGAAATAAACAGAAATTGCTTGTCACAGTTAAAGCACTTAAACCGTCAAGTTCAATCCCAGCCCCAGCACCTGTCACTCCCCAGCCCCCCAACCCGCCCAGTCCAGCCTCAAGCCCCAGCCCCAGTCCAAAGCAACCCAGAGCCTCGAGCCCAGCCCAGCCCAGCCCTCCCCAGCCCAAGCCCAGATTCCAAAACAGGGTTTGAAAGCAAACCTGCTCAATATTGTGTGTAAAAAATGTCGGTCAAAAAGTTTAGTCAAAATTTCTTGGTAGCCAAACCCTTAACAATTTCTATCGTAATCACGGTGTCTGCCAGCAGCGTAGTAACACCATGCCACGCAGCCGCAGATGTCACAATAAGATCGTGCAGACCTTGTCTTTCATATCTCCCGAGCTGGAACACGCCAGGCGCATGCGGCATGCATTGCGGAGAATGTTTATGTCTCGCAGGCCATCGCTCCCGTTCAGCTTCAACTACGGCACCATCAAGCTTCAGCTGAGAGTTCCTCGCATCGTTCTCAAATGCCTTGTCGAGCACGCAGCACCAGCCTCGAGGCATGCGCAGGAGAAGATGTCCCGGTTGATATGTGTACCCAGGCAGGACCACCTCACCGAGATGCTCACGCACCGCTACGTGGGCAACGAGGACTGAATGCCGAGCTCACGCAGACAAATGCCCTTGCGCCTCGGCAGGGACTCGTCCTTCGCATCTGTGAGTGCTGCACCGGCACGGCTACATCATCGGATCTGGACAGGACGGCGCAAGGATGTCCGAAAGAGCAAGGGCAGTGCAGCGTGCCCCAACAGACTCGCAGCGAGGCCAGTGAACCTAGCGTGCGCGAGGACGGCTTGGTAGGCACCATGAGGGTTCTAAGACAGACATGTGAAGCAGCAAATGTGCACAACAGAGGCCACCAATAAGCCACAAGCCGCTCTGCGCAGCACCATGGCTCGAGCCGATATTTGGCCATCTTGTGCATGGCATCATCCTTGGGAAGAGTCGACTAGCACAAAGCCGAAATGCCCGGATCTGCCGCTTTCTGCCGAGGCTGTCAAATCAAACAAACATGGCACAGAAGCGCCCGCCCCAGCAAATGGCAGCAGACTTCAGCGCTTCGGCATCTGCCAACCCGAGACATGCTTTGCCAGGACCAGCAAGACTGTCAAGCTTTTCTTGGGGCTCAGTGGAGTTTCTATCGAGTTGCAGGCCGTACCCAGATACTCACCGAAGCACCATGGCACGACACCATACGCGCATTTGCGGAACGCCACTGGGGCTCGGCGCAGAAGACGAGAAACATCAGTGCCTGCACAAACCTAGGACGTCTGCCAAAATACCTGGAGCTGGTAATCACAGACCGACGCACCGGCATTGTCTTAAGAGAACCATCGGGTTAGGCCATTCTGCCATGCTTACGTGGCTCTGGTTCAACATCATAAAAGACAAGGTGCCATCCTGAGATCCAAGTCTTGCACGCACTACAGGCCCACCACGCGCAGCACTTGCAGGCAAGACAGTGGCAACATCAGCAGGGCGTGCAAAACCTGATCCGATCCCTGCACGAGCACGCGGAGGCTAAGTGCTGGCATTGATGGGGGGTGAGTGGTCTGCGTCAATGCTAGCGCAGCCCGAGAGCTGACAACTCCACCGTGCCTGCATTCACGCCGCTGCCTCAGATGTGTACACATGGGCTCAAGCACACGTATACTCAAATACATGCCAAGGTATAACACCATAGGACAGCACACTCCCGAAAGACGGTTCCGGCAGCGATCCTGAGCAGAAACCCCGGCTCGGCCGGACGAGCCGCACCGATGCCCATTCGCTGTCTCCCTGCGCAGGTGGTGAGGCCGAACCCAAGCCCAGCCCCAGCCTCACGGCCAGAGCCCAGACCCCGCCCCACCAATTCCAAAACCAGCTTTGAAGAGCAAACCTGTTCAAAACTGTCGGTCAAAACGTTTCGGTCAAAACTTGTTGGGCAATTTCAAAAGACCCTAAACCCTGCCCCTACAGTCAGGATCCTGCTCCGACAGCCCAGGATCCGCCTTGCTGTTTGATTTGTGGACTGCTCCTTGGCATCGAATATTGGGCCCAAACCCGCAAACTCCCAAAATAAGAACGCCACTACCTGTTTGTTAGATGGTTTTGGATTCCGGACTCTTCTACATGGACCCTCAAGCTAGCAAAATCTGTAAGCTTTTCATTTCAGAGCCACACGGAAGCCGAAACCCATGAAACCCAAGAGCCTTTCAACCCGGGCTTTGGGGCTTACGGTTTTGCACCCAGAAAAATATGTGGTTTTTGTAATGTGTTGCCCGGGCTGTACTTGCGTGCTATAGGGCAGCATGTCTGGCCGTGTGCGCCATTACCGCCCCCTGGGTTTTGTGGAAGTATTGCGCGCTGTCTTTCATAGTTTATAGGGTCTTCTGAGGGGTTGACGAGGATTTGTTTAATGCAATGTAGACCCCGGCTACTTAAGCTCCTCCCCAATATTGATCAGGGTAGGGTTTGGAGTTTCGGGTTCACATGTTTTAGTACAGAGCCTTGAAAAATGACTCGTACTGGTCCTTATGGTTCTTGAATATGCTTGGCATTCTTCTGTTTGGCTCTTAGGACTTTAGCTCTTTGGGGGTTTATATGAACTGCAACAAGGCGGCTATGAGCAGGGTTCAGAAGTCAGCCAAGATATAGTTGTACTGGAATGTACAGCAACACCCCAGTGTAGTTGAGGCCAAAAAGCAGAACCCTTATTAAGCCCAATCCTGTATTTCCTTTATCAACCCCCTTAAACTACAACCCCCTAAACCCTCAAAACCCTTAAACCCCACACCCCTGAACCCAAAACATACAAACTTCGAGGAGCCCTTACCGGATGCTGTCCTCAGCCGCAAGCCGCAGATACCAATTGCCCACATTGCACCTCAACTATGCTTAGGGAGCTTAAAGTTAAGGATTTAGGGATGCTGCGGGGCTTAGTAGTAAAGTAAAGGACCTTAACCCTTTTTTCGGGGTGCTATAATGCGTTTATATTCCCAATTATATAGTTACCCAGGATGCTCGACAAGCAGGGATTAGAGAAGATCAGGGGCTTGGCAACTAAGCCTACAAGTGAGGTATCTGTAGTTTTGGGGTTTTAAGCATGCAATTCATGTAATAGTTATATCAACGCTTTTGCACCCACATACCGCTGCGGACCAGGTAATGGGGCGTAGAAATAAGGTAAATATAGTTGCATCTAGTAACCTTAGTCCACCTGATGGTATGATACCTCATCGGGATTAATTAGGGTTGAAATGTGTTTCGGGACTTCGGCATACTGGGTTCGGTCTTTGGGTTAGTATTGCCATCTCTAAGCCCACTTCAATCCCACACAGCTTGGTGCTTACATAGCGATGACGAAGGAGCCCGAAAAGCAAAATGAGCAAGATGTTCGATACTTAGCGGCTGCATAGACTTCCAAGTTTTTGTTTGGGGGGTGGAGTTGAGGGGAAGGTCCAAAATCATGCTGATTCAGGGTGTGTACGCTTCAGGATCACGGGACTCAGCAAGTGCCCCCAGCATACTGGTACTAGTCATTGAAGAACACGGTGCCCAAACCCCTAGCAGAAATCTAGAAAGTAGATCCTTGAGCGGCTTCCTGCAAAATCGGTTTAGGGTTTTGGGAAAAGTTTTGGGGTTAGGGTTTTGGGCTTACGTTTCAGAGTTTAGGGTTTAGCTTTCCAGTCCTCCCTGTAATCCCAACTACTCTAGTGATGCCTTTGGCTTGGTTGAGACTTTCGTCATGAGCAGTTCAATGCGGGCGCAACCCCAAACAGTCCAGAACGATCAAGAAATGTACCCATGTAAGCTTTGTAGTCCTTGGCACCCCACAAGCCCTCATAAACACAACTCGTGTCCTATAAGTCCCCAGAGACCCCAGGACTTGTGCATCCATTTGGTACACTACCTTTTCCCATTTCTCGGTTGCTAAACCCAAAACCACATCTTTGTAGAACCCTTTAGATCCCTTTCAGAGCCCTGCTACACAAAATTGCAAGCCCACACAAAAAGAACGGACAACCCAAAGCACTCCCAAAACCCTTAAACCCTAACCCTGGTTCCCAGGTTGGGTACGGCCCCCACGCAGTAATAGTTGAATAATATTCATAATATAGATATAGTAGGACCATAATAATAGCCCTATTATTTAGTTAAGTTGAGGGGGCTGTAAAGTGTGTTTTAAGTAGATGTAGCCACGTGGTGTACGTGTGGTAGTTGTGCGTGTGGACGTGCGTGTGTGCGTGCGTGCGTGCGTGCGTGCGCGCGCGCGTGCGTGCGTGCGCGCGTGCGTGCGTGCGTGCGTGCGTGCGTGCGCGCGTGCGTGCGTGCGTGCGTGCGTGCGTGCGTGCGTGCGTGCGTGCGTGCGTGCGTGCGTGCGTGCGCGCGTGCGCGCGTGCGTGCGTGCGGGCGTGCGTGCGTGCGTGCGTGCGTGCGTGCGTGCGTGCGTGCGCGTGCGTGCGTGCGTGCGTGCGTGCTGCGTGCGTGCGTGCGCGCGCGTGCGCGCGTGCGTGTGCGCGCGTGCGGGCGTGCGTGCGTGCGTGCGTGCGTGCGTTGGTGCGTGCGCGTGCGTCGTGCGCGTGCGTGCGCGGGCGCGCGTGCGCGGGCGTGCGTGCGTGCGCGTGCGTGCGTGTGCGTGCGTGCGTGCGTGCGTGCGTGCGTGCGTGCATGCGTGCGTGTGTGCGTGCGTGCGTGCGTGCGTGCGTGTGCGAGGCCAGCAAGTACACGTCGTCGAGCTTCGCCTGCGTCAGGAGTTATAAGGTATAATTCAATAAGTTATAAGTTTTAAGTTTTAAGTATGAGGCTATAGGCTTTAGGCTATAGGCTATAAGGCTATGTACGTAGGACCTTTATGTATTATTTGACGGGTCTGTTTCCCTTCCAATAATTTCTTACGCCTTTTAAATAATTAAACGGCCTTTTCAAATTTTAAACGGCCCTTTCAAATTTTAAATGGCCCTTTAAAATATTAAACGGCCCTTTAAAATTTTAAACGGCCCTTAAAATGTTAAAAGGCTCCTTAGACTCTTTCAAATTCCTAAAACTCCTTATAAATTTGAAAGAAACTAAATTATATTGGGGCCAGGCACGGCCCGTTTGAAATTTTAAACATCCTTAAAATCCTTAAAATGTTGAAAGCCCTGTGTCTGGCTTTCAAAATTTTAAAGGAATTTCAGGGTGCTTTTAAAATTTTAAAAGGCCCTATAAGAATTTAAAAGGCCCTTTTAAAATTTAAAAGGCCCTTTCAAATTTGAAAGGCCTCCTTAAAATCTTTCAAATTTTGAAAGCCAGACACAGGGCTTTCAACATTTTAAGGATTTCAAGGATTTTTAAAATTTTAAATGGGCCGTGCCTGGCCCCAGAACAATTTAATTTAAGGAATTTGAAGGCCTCTTCAAATTTTAAAGGGCCGTCTAAAATTTTAAAGGGCCTTTTAGAATTTTAAAGGGCCTTCTAAAATCTTAAAGGGCCCTTTAATTTTTTCAACGGCCCTTTAAAATTTTAAACGGCCCTTTAAAATTTTAAAAGGCCCCCTAGATTATTTCAAATTCTTGAAAATCCCTAAAATTTTGAAAGAGACTAAATTATTTTGGGGCGAGGCGCGGCCCATTTAA